GGGGGGGAGTCGTCCTCCCCCCCCCTCCCGTCAAACCCGGGGGGGGGGCCCCCCAAAAAGGGGACCAATTTTTTTTTTTGTTTTGTTTTTTTTTTTCCAAACCGGGCCCCCCCCCCCCCTTTAAAAAAAAAGTCCCCCCCCCCCCCTTTCCCCAAGGTCCTTTTCGAAAGGGAAGGGGGGTCAATGGTCAAAAGACTACGGCAAGCAAAAAAAGGGTACCCCCCCCCCCCCCCCCCCTCTCCCCAAGCAGCAAACGTCATACCCCCTCCCAAGCAACAAAGCACTAGTCCCTAACCCCGCCCCCCCAAATCCTGCGTCTGTCTTGCCTGCAGCTTCTTGGCAAGGCCCGCGTCTAGCTTCCCGCTGAGCACGGAGAGCACCTCCTTGAGCTCGTGGTACGGCAGCAGCTCGTCAGCGAGGGAGGTGCGCATGCCACCGATCGCCCGGAGCGACTGCATCTCCGGCACCTATTGTCAGTGTTTGTGATCGTTTGCGGTACGTTGTACGAATAGCTTTGGTCTGTCGTTAAACGTTGTGCGCTTTTGATCTCTTTCATGCTCGTGGTGTGGTGCCGTGCGTTGTAGCATCGATGTTGTGAGGTTAGCGTTCCTATCGTTTTGCTTATGTTAGTTGCGGATAGCTTGCCGCTGTGCGGTTGTAGCGCTCACGTCGGTTTTTCGTCCGTGAACGGACTGCCGTGCCGTCGGTAAATCGTCGTGGTTGCGGTTCGCGTGTCTCTTTTCGATCAAAGGCGGAACACACACGTCGCCGTCGGTAGTTCCGCGATTCGAACAACTTCAGGTCGACGACGCTTACGTTTCACAACTAAATAGTCAAACGCAAATCTACAGAGATCGAAAGCAACACGTGGAGATGAAACGCCTCCAACCGGGCCTGAGCACGAAGGAACATTCTGCCAGCTAGCCGCTGAAAACCGCAAGTGTCGTGCCGCCACACTTGTCCGCACGACCCCTGCTGTTTCTCCTGTCCTGAAAAAAGACAGAAACCGTTTGTCCCGGACGCTTTCCACCATGGAACTACATACATAGTTCCCTTGGTGGCAGCCTACAAGATTACCCGCAACACCGCAAAAAAACTCTGGAGGCCCAAACACCCCCCCGATACGAAGCTACCGGCAGGAGCACGGCTCCCTCCATCAAACACACTCACCGCGTAGCCGCTGAGCACAACCTCCAGCGTGTCCACCGCGTTGCGGAGGGCGACGTGCGGCTTGTCTGCCGCCGCCGCCGCCGCTGAGTCGTCGTTGACCCCGTCACCGCCCGCGGGCGCGTCATCCACCGTAGCCGCTGACGCGGAGGTCTCGCCGGACTGTGAGAGAGACGCGTCGCTCCCTGTCTCCGGGTTCATGGCGGGAGACAAGACGCCCGCAAAGACCTGTTGTTCGAACAGGGGGGGGGGGGGGGGGGGGGGGGGCCCTTGGGGGGGGGC